TGTACAGAAGCTTTTTAGTTTGATGTACTCCAACTTGTTTATTTTTACTTTTGTTGCCTTTGCTTTTGGTGTCAAATCTGAAAAATCATTGCCAAGACCCACGTCAATGAGGTTACTCCTTATGTTTTCTTCAAGAAGTGTTACGGTTTCAGGTCTTATATTTAAGTCTTTAATCCATTTTGAGTTGAATTTTGCATATGGTATAAGATAGGGGTCCTGTTTCATTCTTTTGCATATAGTTGTCCAGTTTTCCCAACATCATTCATTGAGGAGACTATCCTTTCCCCATTGTATATTCTTGGCTCCTTTGTCATAAATTAATTGACCATACATGCATTGGTTTATTTCTGGACTCTCAATTCTGTTCCATTGATTTATGTGTCTGTTTTTATGCCAATATTATACTGTTCTTATTATTATAGCTTTGTAATATATTTTGTAACCAGGAAGTGTGAGGCCTCCAGCTTTGTTCTTTCTCAAGATTGCTTTGACTACTTGGGGTCTTTTGTGGTTCTTACAAATTTTAGGGCTGCTTTTTCTATTTCTGTGAAAAATGCCATTAGAATTTTGATAGAGGTTTCATTGAATCAGTAGATTGCTTCAGGTAGTATGAACGTTCTAACAACGTTAATTCTTCCAATCCACGAGCACAGAATATCTTTCCATTTATTTTTGTCTTTAATTTCTTTCATCAATGTCTTATAGTTTTATTGTAAAGATCTTTCACCTCATTGGTTAAATTTATTCCTAAGTATTTTATTCTTTTTGATGCAATTGTAAATGGGATTGTTTTCTTAAATTCTCTTTCTGATAGTTCATTGTTAGTGTATAGAAATGCAACCCAGTATTTTTCATATTGATTTTGTATTCAACTTTATCGAATTAATTTATTAGTTCTAACAGTTTTTTGGTGAAGTATTTAGGGTTTTCTATATATAATATGTCATCTACAAATAGAGACAGTTTTACTGCTTTCTTTCTAATTGGAATGCCTTTATTTCTTTTTCTTGCCTAGTTACTCTGGCTAGGACTTCCAATACCATATTGAACAAAAGTGGCAAGAGTGGGCATCCTTGTCTTGCTCCTGATCTTAGATGACACACTTTTAACTTTTCAAGAAACTATTTACTGTAAATGACATAAAATACTAGCACAAACTTTGAATAAAACAAACAATTGTCTCCGGCATCTTCCCATCTGCTGTTCAAACCGTTTTCCTTGCGTGCTGCCTTCATTGCCCTGTTTGCTTCCAAGAGCTCAATGTCTTTCTACTATCTCCTGTCTGCTCAGAACTCCTAACCCAGGCTCACCTAATCCCTTCCTTCTCTCAGCTAGTGGTCCCCAGACCTGGTCTTCTGTCCCCAACAGTTCGTGCTAGTTCTCCAGATTCCTTTCAATCTGAAGGCTTAGATCTGCTTCCCAAATCCATCCTGCCTGAGGCATTTGGCTTTTAGCAGTTTCAGTGTCTTTCCCCACCTTGCTCATTCTGACCACCATTGCTAATCCTACCCAAAATGTGGTGCCTGGTGGTGACACCGGGCTTTTACAGTGTGTCCCATGTTGAAGCCTCCATCAGGTGCATTTTGATATTGGCCCAGATCCTAAGCTCTGGAAGTACAAACACATGTACCTCTCCAAGTAATAGAATTTGCTCATTTTTCTGAGTTCTGTCTTGGCAAATGCCTAGCATGCTGGTTCTATCACAGAAATAGGGCTCAGCCATGCCCAGGACCATAGTCCTTCTTAGGGCACCTGGCTGATGCCTGGTTTCTGACATCTATGGATACCCTTTTGCATCCTGAGCTTTCTTGGTGTTATTCAAGCAAATCCACCATTACCGTGCCCCTTTACCATTGGGTTTTTGTTACCAACTATTTCCAAAGTGCTCTCTAGTCAGCCCTTGTCACAAGGAGAGTTTCCTTGTTCCTACCCATCCCAATAGGTGTGAGACTCCTTGGTCTCTGCTTCATCTGATTAGAGGTTAAGTGGTCAAAAATCTACCCAATCTAGGGGCCGGTCCGGTGGCATAAGGATTAAGTTCTGGCACTCTACTTTGGCGTCCTGGGGTTGGCAAGTTCAGATCCCAGGCTTGGACCGACGCACCGCTTGTCAAGCCATGCTGTGGCGGTGACCCATATAAAGTAGAGGAAGATGGCCACGGATGTTAGCCCAGGGCCAATCTTCCTCAGCAAAAAGAGGAGGATTGGCAACAGATGTTAGCTCAGGGCTAGTCTTCCTCACACACACACACACACAAAATCTAAGAAATAGCAGCTTCACAAAGGTTCATCTCACTGACCTCACACTCAAGAGCTGATGACTGAGAATGGATTGGCCCCCTGCTCTCCTTCATAAGAACTGCCATATTAACCTAGCAATGCAGTTTTAATGGCAGCTCCATTCAGGAGGATTTGGGAAGAATTTGGGGATTTTCAGCACTTCTTGAATCATTCCACAAAAAGCTCATTTCCCCTACAAGTAAAATAGTCCTTTTCTTGCTAATGTATATGAGATTAAGGAGGAAAGCTGGGGGATTTAATGACCCTTTCACAGGAAAGTTGTTAAGAAATGAACAAAGCCCGAGTAGAGTCCCTTTTAATGGGTGCCAGAAACAATCTTTCTGCCTGGGCCTCAAAAATTGTCCTTAACCCTGGGTTCAAAATTTGGTAGATGTTGACCATGAGCCAATCTGAGAGTTGTGAGGCTCAGGGAAATACATTCGTCTTATTGAAAAAGAAAATATACATTTTTTTTCTTGCATTTTCCTAAAAGTTGCATTTACTCTTTTAATCACTACAGAAACAAAAGAAATCATTTACAGTCGAATCAAGCTGAGGTTAAGTATTCCCAAAATATAGGAATATTTTTCCTGCTCATAATGTCATAATTGGTAAATGTCTCTTTTAAGTTGACTCTGTTTTTGGTAACTCAGTGGTTCTCAACTCTTGCAGACCCAATGCCTTACTTTTTATTGCAAATATTTGGTAACAGTTTTACCATTCTAAAATAAAATTTGCAGATGACACTCCTGCACTATTATATATATCATGTTGCAACTGTAATATAAATGTATAGTGAAAAAGAAAATTATTTACAATAAAATAATATGTATTTCAGTGTGTAAATGCTCAGACATGATCACAAAAGGAGACAAAATGAGGCAGTGTGATGTTGGCACCCATATCTAATATCTACCTGAATACAATATCTACAAATATTGTATACAAGTGTGGTATGTTGTATTTTAATGCCACAGACTGTGTTGCCATTGATAATGTGATTTTTAGGAATGAACAACTCTTGGTAAAGTTCTGAGGAAAACAGAGTAAAATCTTCCCTCGATATCCACAGTAGTTGCATTTCTAGAAAATTCAGAAAATTAAAACCATACCAAAAATATACTATGCGTTTTATGAAAACTGCTCTGATTATTATGAACATATGTGTCACCTCATGAATGTCTGGAAGAACATTCAAATACAGAGCAACACCTGATAAATCCTTATTGTGCAGACAATTGTGTCCAAGACAAGATGTCTAGTCTCTGGTCCCAACTGCCAAATGCCAGTAGTACTCTCTTATAATTGTGATATCCAAAAATGGCCTGAGAGGCCAATGTCACTCCCACTCCTGCATGAGATTCATTTTCATAGCAACTAGAGACAAAGAATAGGCAAATCGAAATTTTCTATTTATTCTGTAAATATTAATGAATAAGATATATTATGGAAATTGCATTTCTATATTTGGGATAATATTTCTTATAGGTCCACAGAAATAAGTCCTTTATTATAATATACAATAATACAGAGAAAAGCACAATTACCTGTCCTCAACACATTTAAAATCTGGAAGAGATTGTAATACAATCTATAAGCTAACAGATGTTATGATAGTAAGACATAGATACATAAGAAGAGAAACTTGATGTAATTCCCATAAATAATGTTTTTAAATTTTTAACATTTTACTATAGTTATTTTCTTACAAATTTTACGGGTGTTACAAATTTTCTTAAAGCTTTTATGAGTCAGAAATTTTCTTACAAATATTATGAGTCAAAGTGAGAAAGAAAAAACTAAGAAAAAATGGGGGAAGAAGACAAATAAGAAATAAAAGAAATGTAGCTTACAAAAAGAAAAAAGGACAGATAAAAGAAAATTTAAAACAGGAAAAAATTGCAGAACAAATCATGTGTGCAGTATGTTGCTGCTTTTTCATCCTCAAAATTAATTTCTATGACTCAGTAATTTTAATGATCGTAGAAACTCACAGGGGTATTTCTTAGTCATCTGATTAACTTGTGGAGCCATGGAGTATAAAAAATTAGGAAAAATCTTTAAATCCTGAACATTTACCTTGCTGGGAAAAAAAAAAAATTTACCTTGATTCATTTGGTTCTTCTATTCCTATCATGAATTGCTTCAGGTTTTCTGAAGCATTAAATATGAAACTGGATCGGTTTCTTGGAAAGTTTCAAGATTATAACACTTGGAAGGAAACAGTAGAAATATGGGCAGGAGGGAAAAAGAACCACAAGCCTATATAACAACTTAGCATCCTAATCTCATAGTCTAAATTAATAATTTTTCTATGTATTTCTCAAAAGCTCTTTTTTTTTAAGAATATTGTCTTCATTTATTTGAAAACAAATAACTTTAAGTGTGGAAGGGAATGCTAAAGATTTCAGTATAACTTTCTTAAAGGAAAATCTAAATTAACTGTGACCCAAGACATCTAGCAATTCTTCAAAAAACAGAAAAGGAAAAAATTTTATTCACTTCCTTTGGGAACTCATTTTAATGCCTAGCAGCATATTGGACAGGAATATTCTCTAAGTTTCAGTTTCACCATTATTTAAATATGTTCAGTAAGCTTTTAAATCATTTTTGGAGCTATTGAGGGAGCTGATCCCATGCCCTTAAACTTGACCTTTCAAAGGACAAATCTAGATAGTCTCGTTATAGCAGAAGGCCATGAAGATTTCTGTTTCCCTTGATTTCTAGATAAGTGAATTTCCACCAAAGTTATGGTAATATGCAAAATTTTCTTACTATTCTCCCCCCGATCTGTTTTTTGTCAGAGTGTGAGTTGAATGGGCATCTTACCTGGTTAGCCAAGTGGAGTTTATGTCTTTGGAGCTGAATCATGGTCAGGATTAACTTACCTAAGTTTGAGTGGAATGAAAAGAACTAGAGGGCTGAGTCCAGTCCTAAGCTTAAGAAAATACCATGTTCCAAATTGAGGAAACTAAAACAAGCTCATAAAACTAGAAACCGTTAGACCCATGGTTCCCAGATGGGCCAAGTAGACACTTTGTGTTGGAAAATAATGCAGTATTGCAACTGCAGGTGGATTTAAAATCACTAGTCTTTGCATGGGAATAATTTCGAGATGGTGGGGATTAAATAAGAACTGGAATGAATGCTCTGACATTTTATAGTCCTTTTGTTCGGCTGCGTCAAGGCATAGTTTTAACAAGCAATGAAATAACCATTCCTACTTCCCTGTGCCCATTTTTACTCCCAACATAAAGGAAGTAATTCTGAATACCTTAGTCTGTGGCTAACGGCACAAAAGGCAATTCCACAGGTCAATTATCTTTTGCTTAAACCAATGGCTTCCCCCAAGAACAAAGAGCAGCAAATCAAAGCAGCTAATCGCTGTTACACTCAGGAAGATTTCATTATAAAATATGACATTGTCGTTACAGTCATTTGAGCGTGCCACAGCATGCAAGTAATAGATCCTAAAGAAATGGTAGGGAAGGAAGCAAATAAGGATGACCCCTATAAAAAATAGGTTTTTCAGTTGAGCCCAGAACTCCTGGTGGGATAGTAAGGAGTGGTGTAGCTTCCGTACCATCGACATGATGATGAAAATCTGGAAGACCAAGAGAATCACCACAATAGCTATGACAATAGTGACTATCATATAGTTGATGACTTGAGCATATACACGATTAAGTTCTTTGTGGAATACAAAGCAGTTTTGCTCATCATACATCTCACGAGTTCCATACTGAAAAACAACCAGGGGCACCACAATGACAATCACCAGTAGCCACAGTCCGGTACTGGCAGCCACAGCATGCAGTTTTCTGTAGAATTCCACTTTGTCTTTGCACTTGAAGAAGATGAGGTACCTGATGACCAGGATCACCACATAGAACAGGAATGTGAGGTACATGTGGATATGCAGCATGGCGCTCACAAATTTGCAGAAGGGCAATCCAAATGTCCAAGTTTGCTTGATGAGATAGGCCAAGCGAAAAGGCACTGTCAGCAGAAAAACACTGTGGACCACTACCAGGTTAATAACTGCTGTGGTGGTCATAGACCGGGTGTTCATTTTCACCAGCAGGAACAAAATGGAAATGATGCCCATCAGTCCTCCAATGAGCACTATGCAGTAGAGCCCAGTTAAATAGGGTGTCAGTATAGGATTGCAGGAGGAATTATTGTGGTCAGCCATACTTCAGAAGTTACCTGGAAGAGACAAAGCACCCATGTAACTGACAAACATCCAGAGCTTTGTTCATGTCTCCTTCCTAACACTGACAATGTGACTTCATCATTTATCTGTTTACATGATATAAACTTTATGTGCCTTAAGAATGAAGACTATGTCATATGCATGCCTGTATACTCCAGATGGAAAACACAGTAAATCATTGATTCTTAATCTTTAGTAGGTTAAAGACCTCCTCAAGAGGCCCCCAGAGGCATGTATATATGTACATAGTCAAAACAGTTTGCATAAAACGGGATTGCAGACCATTTGAAGCTGGTACATGGATACTAGTACTCCAGCAACCACTAAAAAAATGTAAGATGGATGGAAAGTTGAGTGGGTGCACTAAGTAGATAAAATATTTTTTTTCTTTTAAGTATGATTCTATTTCTCAAATTCCTTCCAACTCGTCAACAGTGATCCAAGAATGTTTGTACATAATTCAATTAGGATGCTGATTAGTTTGACAAAAATATTAAGTCAGTCAAAGCAGCAGCAAGCAGTAAGAGAGTATATCTGAATTCTCATCGTAAGGTCTGGGCTAAGTTCTTCTCAGAGGCCTCACTGAAAATGAAGCATGTCTCCCAATTCTCTCATCTCCCACTCAAAAATTCATAAAAGAACACTATCATTTTTCCTCTGGACTACCTAAATAGTCCTGGTCTCTTCTAATTCATTGTCCACATTCTAATTTATTATTTACTAAATAAAAGATTTAATAATCTTTTAATTACACTAATCAAGTCACTTCACTTTCTTATTTAAATTCCTTCAATGGCTTCCCATTTCTTTTAAGATAAAAGCAAAATCCTTACATGTCTAGAATGTTCTGAGTTATGGCAAAATCTGATCCCTTGAGACAAGATACAGATTCAAGAAATAATCTAGAGGTGAAATTGACAGGATTTGACAAATTGTATATGGGGAAACGAGGGGAAAGGAAGTATCTCAATCACACCTAGATTTCTGACTTGAACGACTGTGTGATTAGAGGTCTGTTTACTGATACCAGGGAGGCTGAGAGTCAAAGCTGAGAAAGAACAGTAGTTGAATTATGCACTTAGTACCTGACCTTTGTAACACAATTGCTGTTATTATTCATTTCTTAAATGTCTCTTTATACAACCAAAATTACCCAGCAACAAAAGTGAACCAACTGCTGATACACATAATACTGATACATCACGAAAGCATTATACTAAATCATGTATTCTCATTTAGGGCAATATCGCCCCCAAGGGGGCCAAAGTTTGTTCTTGAGGAGTGAAAAATCTTACTTTTTATGTGTAAAATACAGATATACCTACAATACATAAACAGATATACACTATATCTGTGGTATTAAAATTTCATAATGGGAGAAACACAATCAGGTGAAATATGTCTGAAAAGGCTCCTTGGAGGGTAATAATAAAAAATGTTGAGAAACACTATACTAAATAAAAGATGCCATCTGTCACATGATGTAGTGTATACAGAAGTCGGATTATAATGATGTACACCTGAAATCTACATACTGTTATAAACCAATGTTACCTCAATAAAAAAAATTTTTAATAAAATATGCCAGCCACAAAAGACTACATATTGTATGATTTCTTTTTTCTAGAAAATAAAAACTAATGTGACAGAAAGAAGATCAGTGTATCCCAGGGCCCAGACTGTAGGGGATGTGATTGACCTCAAAGTGGCCTGGGGGATCTTACGAGGTGATGGAATGTTTTATATGGTGTTGGTTACAATTGTAGTTATTTATCAAAGCTTATCAAATAGTACACTTAAAATTGGTGAATTTTCTTTCATACAACCTCAATAAAACTAATTTAAAAAACATAATAATAATCTGACCCCAGAGAGCCTTTGCTTTTGTGGGCAGGGGACAGAATTACCATGTGACCCACTTAAAAGGTTGCCTCGTGTAACACTGTTCTATGTGATCTGTAGTCTCTGTATTTGCCTTTTATTTGTCCCTGTAGAAAAGTAGTTCCATCAAGTAGACATGAAATTATATTGTGTTCATATCTGAATCAAGGGTCAAGGTGCCACCATAAGTTCTGCTCAACATTTCCTTCAGCTATTGACCTAGAAGGACCAACTACTGAGAGAAGAAGAAAGTAAAACCAATCACATATCATCTGTCTCAAGTCCTCCTTCTTTCTTATAAACTGCCAGGAGCTCTCTCTTTCAGATGTAAGAAGCCCATGTTAAATCTCTGCTATGTGCCAACTGCTACACAAGATGCTTGCCTGTACATGGTCTCATTAACCCTCATAGCAGTCCTGGGTCTTGTGTATGTAATACTATACTGAATTTCAGATGAAGAAACTGAGCCCTAGACAGAATAAGTCATTTAGGCAAGGTCTCTGAAGTCACACACACACACACACACACACACGCACACACAAACAAAAAACTCCTTATTGTGTATCATGAGAAGCAAGTTGTGCATCACCTGAGCCCAAGTTTCTAAATCTTAACATAAGAAGAATGGGAGGCCATGAATAAATTTGGTCCTGCTCACATGGCTGTATGCCAATATATCTTGAAAGCTGCCCTTCCTCTTTCTGGATGTCTCACTTTCCTATTCCCTTTCCTTGGTTTACAGCAGATGCTATAAGTTAGCTCATTCAACATCCATTCTAACCCTTTCTGGCCTGCCTTTCTGTACAGACTTTTTGCAGCCGTAGTGCTTGTATGTGACCTAGCTTCTGCTAGTCTGTTGCACTACTGCAAAACTTGGAGGCAAAAGTGAGTCAGATGAGGAATGTCAATGTGTAGAGAGATTAGATCATTTGGCAAGACAATAGTGGAAATGCCTGGTTGCTCTGGGACAGCGCTGGCACTGGTACCCAGTACTATATACATCATGGATTTCAGGATGCAATAGTTAGAGTCAATGATGTTTCTGCTATTAACCCCTTGGTGGTGGTGGATATTTTTCCCTGACTACATGGATAGTGCCTTTGTAGCAACCAAACCTGGTTACTAGACATTCCAGGTATTCTGTAGGCTATTACCTTTTAATAAACACTTTCTGCTTAAACTAGGCAAAGTGGGTTCTTTTGTCTGCAATTAACAACCCAGATATACCTGGTTAATTTCTATTTCTCCTTCAAGAATCAACTGAGGCATCGTTTCCTCCAGCAAGCCTTTCCTAAGCTCCACTCTCAGTTCAAGTCTGTGCCATTCCTCTTTTGCCCCATGGAATGCACCATGCTTACCTCTATTAGGGCACTTATCACACAGATCATAATTCTCAGTTAGACTTCTTCCTTCCAAACAAGACTGACCAGGGAAGAATCACATTTTCCTTTGTATCCAAAGAACCTAATGAAGTTTTAAAAATTAATTTAAATATTATTATTGAAAACTAACCTACATATAGTAGAGTGCTCAGCTGTAAGTATACAGCTCAATGAATTTTAAAAGAGTATATTTACTCACCAGAGGTACTCACTATCCTTACAACCAACACCACAAACGAGGTTGTCTACTTTGAATGTTATATAAATTCAGTGTCCTGTTTTGTGTGTATCCAGCTTTGTTCACTCAACATTATGCTCTGAGATTCGTTCATGTGTATAGTTTTAGTTAGTTCATTCTTGTTGTGGCATATTATATAGTTGTATAAATATATCACAATTTATTTATTCCGTGGTTGATGGACCATAATATTATTTCCACTTATAAGGCTATTACAAATAATGCTACTCTGAACATTCTTATAAATATCTTTTGTAAAAATAAGTATATATTTCTGTTGGGAATTTACCGAAGTCTGAAACTAATGGATCATAGGGGGTGTGTGTGTGTAGTTATAGTAAAAATCACAAATAGTTTCCAATATAAATGTCTACTAACAGTTGATGAGAGTTTCAGTTGCTCCACAACCACAAGAATACTGAGAATTTTCTGCCTTGTTCCTTTTTGTCATTGTAGTAGATCATTGTAGTAGTAGTTGTATCAAATTGTGTTTTTAGTATGCATTTCCCTAATGACTAATAAAGGTGAGCACATTCTTATATATTTATTGGATATTTGGATACCCTATTTCGTGGAGTGTCTGTTGAAATCTTCTGCCCCATTTCTATTTCGTTGTCTGCCTTTTTCTTATTGATTTGTAGTAATCCTTTAGGTAGCAGATATTACTCCTTTGTTGGATATATGTTGCAAATTTCTTCCACTTTCCTTTTCATTCCTTAATTGATACCATTTGTTGAACAAAACTTCTAATTTTCAGTATTACCAATTTATCAAATTTTCCTTCGAAGTCAGCATTTCATATCCTGTTAAGAAATCTTTGCCTATCCAAAGACAATAAAGATAGTATGCTGTGTTTTCTTCTGTTTAAATTTTTTTACATTTTTCATTTTTAGATGTACAATCCATATAGAATTGATTCTTTAATATAATGTATGGTAGGAGGCCATGATTAATTTTTCCCATATGAATAGCTAATTGACCCAGAATCATTCATTGGAAAGACCATCTTTACCCTCACTAAACTGCAGTGTCAGCTTTGTCATAAATCAGGTGACCACATACGAGTCAATTTAGTCCATTTTTAGGACTCCAGTATGTTATGCTGGTTTATTGATCAACACATGTGCAAATACCACACTGTTTAAATCACCATTGCAATATAATGAGTTTTCTTATCTGGTAGTGTAACTTTTTCAGCTTTCTTTTCCTTAAGATCACCAGAGCCACACTTGACCTTCTGCATTTCTAAATAAGTTCTGGAATCTACTTATAAAAACTTGTGGGATTTTTAATGGATTTGCATTGAAATTACAGATATTGATAGCTTTAGATAGATATTGATAGATTTTTAATATTCAGTCTTCTTATCCTTGAACATAACATATCCCTCCATTTTCTTGGGGCTTCTTTAATTTGTCTCAATAATGTGCTGTGGCTTTCTATATAGAAGTCTTTTACATGCTTTCCTATATTGATTGAGATAATCATATGATGT